ATCAAGTTTAGTTCGTACCGTAAAAGAACTTTATATAATTTTAGTATTATCAAAACTCTAGCGATAAAATGGTTTCAACTACAAAAAGGTCGTAGTTAGAGATCTCTTGCATAGATGGCGCTGAAAATAAAACTAGTCTTGCTATCGGTCACTAGATGGCGTGAACCCAACAATCACAAAAGCTCGATTGAAATTCATGAATTACTAAAACTCGAATCGGTCACTAGGTCAAAGCAGATTGTTTATACATTAATGTATTGCGGATATCATTTATGTATACAGAATGTTAAACTCTAACAAGGAAGATTTGTTTTCATTTTTGCTTTGGCCTACGATTATTGTCATAAAGTTCTGCTGCTTTTACGATTATAAATGACCTTACTATTTAAATCAGAATTAAAGAATCATGGATGCATTGCAATTGCAATATTCCCAAGACTATTCCTAGATGAAGTCTCAATAAAAAGTACATATTTATTACCAACAGTGGATTTTCTTATAACTTTGTAGATAGATATATGCCTTCGTCATTAGCTACTGCGTTTTTTATAAATCCGATTATGATGTCGTCGTCAATGTCATCAAAAATGGATAGTAATTATCACAGATTAAAATGTAGGTTTAAAATGTGATGACATTTTGACAGTACACTCAAGGCTCTTCAAAATATTTCAACACTAAAACACAAGTAGTAACAAAACAAAAAAAAAACTATAAACTCTGTGTATTTAATGAGGCATTTTTAAATATGAAACACGAGGCAGCTGCACAGAACGCAACGGCGGAACAGAATAATGACGTAATGGTCGTCGCAAACAAGAGTCATCGATGCCGTGTAGATATACCCACGCGGTGTTGAGTACCGACCCTGACCCGTGCGAGGTCATGCGACCCGCCCTACCTGAAAATCCAGGGTTAAATTAACAAAGCCCGCAGCCTATTTCAAACATCGTGTTCAGAGATTCCGCGAGATATGCAAACTCGATTAACTACTGTTGAATTAACAAAGGCGTCGAAGATGATATTGATAAGACGCGTTCGCTTTCATATGGACAAAATGTTTCGTAATATGAAAAATTATTATCTCAAACTAGCTGTCGCCTGTGACTCCGTTCGTACGGAATTAAAAAAAATCATTAGTGTCTTATGTGTTCTTCAAGACTGTGTTCTACATCTATGCCTAATTTCTGCAGTTCTGGAGATACCTTTCAACAGAAATCCATACATCCATCTAAACATTTGCATTAGTATTAGTAAGATATCAATCACTTCTACGTAAATAATCCTGTGGTTGGATAAAATATTTTTTCGTTTACTATATAACTAAGGATTCTATATATTTAATTTAATTTGCAAGTAAAATAAAAAAAAAGTCAAAATATAAGAATAAGGTAAGAATAACCCGAGAGCGAGTAAAATTAAATTTACTATGAATAAATTAATATCAAATATGAAACATTTCATTTCGATGAAAAGATATTTTCACTGAAACTGACATTTAAAATACGTTTCATTCGCTCTCTTAAATTAATAAGTGAATTCAAAAAATGTAATTGAGAAAGAGCTTAACCATCAATTTTTATTTAAATATAATTCCAAGTGATGTCTGCGGGAAAAAGTCCAAGGTTAAAACGTTTTCAACACCATTTTCATAAATTTAAATTTCACTATCCATTCATATTTAACAGTGGTAGAGCCCGCTTTAACATCTTCGCACGAATTGGCCCGGCTCGCCCGGTGAAATACCACGACCACACAGAAGAAAGGCGTGAAGTGGAAGCAATTCCGCGTTTCGTCTGATTTCGTCTTTCACTTCCCACCTTTTTTCTAATAAGAAAAGGGTGGGAAGTGGAAGTGGACTTTCCGGATGAGAAGATGCATGGAAAGGGAAAATACTTTCTTTCTGTGCATCCTCTCTTCCGTCGATTAAAGGTAGGCAACGCATATGCCATTGCGTATATCTATTGTCAACGGTCACTCCGCTATTTCAGCGATTTCTCGGTGGCCGCTCGCTCGTTTGCCACCTTATGATATAAAAAAATATTTAATATAAAATTATCTACCCTAAGTGATTATTAAAGTTATCCTTACGACTGAGTACGGCTGTCATTTACACAATGGACTGAATATAGCTGTATGTAGCCGTATTCTTATCTGTAATTTTACACAAGTATCATTCATATGTAAATAATATTTAAAATTGCAAGTTATTCACACATCGCGTTGTTAATAACTTTAATGGAGTTCCGAGCACCGTTCTCTCTCAAACATTAATTTCAAATGCTAGCTTGGAATTCAGTTATCCGTACATATTGACCGAGAGCCGAAGGTTGCCTACAATTTCAATTTAGACATACATATAAATTCTGATAGAATTCTTAATCTAAGCTTCATAAAGCAGATGTGTTTCATCGTTAGCTCATATACGTACCCTGTGTGGGTTGAATCTACTCTAAATTAGGGGTAATTAGGCTGTATTTAACCAGGTTGGTACAGTGCATATTCATTGTCTTCACATACGCAAATGTAATTCGCTTGTATTACTATTATATAATGACTATGCTTAAGTAAAAAACTTTACTAATTTCATGAATGTGAATATTTGGATGAATGAACGGCTCCCGCTAAAATTTAACATAGATAGAAAACATAGTCTGGAAAAACGCATAGACTACTAATCAAGTTTTTTTTAACTACGCGTGAATAGAGTCGCGGGTGGCAGTTAGTATATGACACACACACACACACACATAACTTCGTGTTATGTGTGTGTGTGCATGTGTAACTGTTTATTCATTCCTTCCATTTTGTTTACACACTTTACATTTCGAAGGGGAATTACCTTTACACGATGTTTGTGTATGATTGTTATTTTGCATTACCTGAAAATAAACAAATACGCTGCCTTCTCCTTTATACCTTTAAATGAAATACTTTAAATGTAACATAATTTAATTTATCGTACCTCTTAATAGACGGGAATCGAGATGACGGGCTTTTTGTTATTAAAGGATCTTCCATACAAATGAATATTTTGCTCCGTCATTTAAAACATAAGTACCGTTATAAAACAATCATAGCAATTGCTCATTTAATACTATCTTTATCTGTTTTTAAAGAATTATCAACACTTTCATTATCCATAAGAAACAAAATTAACTTAAATAATATTGTAAGTATTGTATTCTGATTCAATGCACTTATCATACATTAAAAGATTCACTGCACTTCTATAATTTATCCTGAACTTCTATCATAATCACTTGTCAAGAATTGGAAAATGTCATCATCTCAGTATTTCATTCTTAAATTAAATCTATAATTTAAAGCGAAATTTAAATCGGATTTATCGTTTTAGTTTTGAATAATAGAATGTTATGAAATAATAGAATGTGAAAATGAAGTTAAACCTTTATATCAATCTGTCATGATTACTTTAAATCTTCTTCTTCGCATACTTCATTACTGAAGCTCGTGCTCGTTGATATTCCTGTACGGATATGCCGACCAGCAGTCTAGCTAGAGGCAGAATAAATATGGGAAAAAGACTACGCTGCGCGAAGTGACATCATAAGAAAAATAAATATGAATACGTCTTAAAAAGATATAAGATATCGGTATATAAAAGTCACTAAAGAAGGCATGTACGAATTTATCGCAAAAATAATTGCCGTCAAACGCCACTCTCCTGAAGCGAAAAGCTTAGGAGCTGAATCATATCCATTTAGACGCTTGTGCAAGATCCGTCGAACCGAGAGCCCGGATGTGGTTTGACGCATTTGAAATCCGGCAATTTATATTTGTTTTAAGTGCCACCAAAATAAAGCTTACGAAGTATTAGTCAATACTTTGATTGCTAAAAGAAATCAATCAATAACAATATTCATTTCGATTCAGCTATCAAATTGGTGAGTTATAACAGCTACCGTAAAACAAGGATCTTTTGAAGTTTTTTTTAAATTGACTAGAAGTGCGCTGATGAGCTTTTGAAATTTAATATAAAATTAAGTGTGACTTATGCAGTACAGTATGACAGCTTAATAGCAATGTACAGCTTTGCCGAATTTCATTATACCATAAAATAGGATAGATAGGATACTTGGCCAGCGTGGTTGACTAAGGCCTAGTTACCTCTAACTTAGGGTAGGCTCCGAGCCGTTCGGGGGGGACGTATAGTGAGCTGATGATGATAATAAAATAGGATAAAGCTTAATTGAATAAGACATAAAACTTGCTAAATATGTTCAGGTTTATCAGTTCAGTATTACTTCACAGTTTTCAGTATTGCCTACACACGTCAGTTTTAAGTGTGCAAGTTTTAAAACTAAACGTCTGTCGCTGACTTTAGCCAAAATATATTCGTTTGAATTGAGATATTTTTTGACTAAAAATTGTATGTAATTCCAATGTTATTTCAATGATTAAACAGCCACTAGAGTTTATCAAACAGATGTAAACATTTTGATGTAATCCATTATAGAATAGAAACAGTGAATAGAAATCACAAGGAAACAGAAGTAAAAGATATCTGTTCTGGGAATAAATAGGCTGAGCGTGGGCGGGACGATTTCCGGGAAAATCAATATACCGTATCCGCTTCATGAAAGTGGGATCACGATTAAATGCATCTGTTCCCAACATCTAATATAGTAAAAAATCAGAACACAAATAATTCTATTTGGTTTTGTACTTAATGGGAAATGAAGATGTTGCAATAGCGGTAGAGCAAGCAACGATAACACACTCTCGTTTACCACATTAAACTATAAAACGGTGACACACGTGCTAAGTATGTCCGTTGAACCTTCCTTCTTGACATCTCACGCATCGGACTAGGCACTAACCTTGTACTTTTACTGTGTATACAACCTACAATATTGATAAATAGGAAGTGTGAACTTTTCCGCGTATTCTGAGAGGTCGTGGTACTTCCCCTGTTGAGTTTAATTGAGTTATGTTACGATATTTTATCAACTTATTATTTTGTTGGTGTGTGTCAGATGCGAGGATGGTGGAGGCGGCGCAGCGACAGGCACGGGCGGGCGCGCGGCGTCGTTGCGGCTGGCCAACGGTCGCGTGGCGGCGCAGTCGGCGGAGCAGCTGCCGCGCTCACCCGCCGACCGCGCCGATCGTGGCCCCGACCGCGCCGACTGCGCCTCCGTGCGAATCTCTATCGACAACACCAATACCTGCTGCACTGATTCGCTCGTCACCGCTCTCGATGACGAAACATTATTATTAGGTAAGTATTTCACTATAAGATAGAAGTTAGACTACTAATGCTGCCATGAACTATTCCCAATGTTACTGTTAAGTAAGCCGCTTATTGTGTCATGCAAACTTTATGGCGGCTCGCAATTTAACACGGGACGTTGCGCACAACACAACACCTCCCTCCCTTCTGCAGAGAAATACGCTCGCAGTTACACACGAGCCGCTATAAAGTTGGAATCGTATAATGTCTTTACTATACAACCTAAACATAGCATCCTTTTCTCGACTGTCACTAGACATTTGCTTATTCAAAATGCAGAAGTATTAATACTTCTTACTATGTTGTCGCCCGTCGTATTTCTGTTCTTACTTCTTACATGCAATAACTGCTGCCTTCAGCACGGCTTCGCTGTTATAACAATAGTTAAAGCAACTCTTTTGTGATGGAGCCCGATAATAAATTCTTTTGAATGGTTACTTTGATACAATATTTATTCAGACGACGAGTATAAAGAACCTTTGCCTTCTTAGAAAAAATATTGGATGATTTATTCATAATATTAATATACGGAATACAAAAGATTACCTGCCATTAGTAACTGTGTAGTATTTTAACGTCGTTTGGTCTAAAGTTATTGACTAAAATATCAGCTTCTAAAAAAGTCACATGTAAAACAAATAAAAAAACAGTTCTTAAAGAATAAACAACATTTATTTCATTGGATAAGGCGGCGCTTGACCACTAACACAAATCCACCATCGGGTGGACCGTCATCTGTAGAAGTCTTGTCTAAATCGGTGCAGTCGTTTCAAAGATAGCCTAGAATACTATTATTTGCGGTCAGACAGACACAAAAATTTTTAAACATGTATATTCGTCATATCCAGCGCAAATATTCACAATTTTTTTTTTTCGAAATTATAAACAGACGCTCCAAGTTCATTTTTTTTATTTATAGATATCGATTTCAGTTATTTTGCAACACCATATCGATTAATAAATATTTTTACATTACATAACTAGCACGTGAAATAAAACGATAAGTTATATGTTACGTCTCCACTGTATTACAATATTGCCATCCAATTTCCTTGAAAAAAAAAACAGAAAAAACAAATATCGTATACAATAGGCACGTCATTTAATATTTACGGTCACGTGTTTTGAATTCTGATAAATCTCATTTCAGGGTTAAAACAATGAACTGCAGATGTGTTAATTATCATATCAAATCAGTTTACGCGACACATCTATATTTTTCCAACTAATTGCATTATTCTTTATCGTGTTATAAATTTAAGTGTATATTATACTATTGTCTTCGTTAACGATCTGAAATAAATTTCATTTATTTATTACATTTTAACAAGGAAGCTTCAAAGAATAATTACAATAACAAGAATCAATTTAAAGATACTTTTAATTGTGTAGGAATTGACAAGATTTTTTTAAATATTAACGCTGAATTCTTGAATTCCAAACTTCATATTTATAAAAAAAAAATATAATTTTATTTCATATCCTTCAATAGATATAAAAACCTTGCTTGTATTGTATACAATATTATTGCATTTTAATCATGCTGATTGACCTAAGACCTATTTTAAGATAAATCTGCAATATAATACTACGATAATAACGTACTAAATGATATGAATATGAACTTAATTATAATAACACATATGTACTTCAGATGAATCGTTAACTAAAATTTACTTGCTGTTGAAAGTGTGAAAAATTAGACTAAATAATTTTGTATTTAACTATATTTTAAAATTATAAAACAAATCAATTAAATTTCTAAAATTAAAATGAAAATTACATAGAGCTGTTACTTTTACAAATAATAAATGCAATAATTACACAATAAATTAAATACACAGACTAATTACATATATATTGATATATACTTGTATTATTTCAACATACATGTAGACATATAAATTGTGTAATATGTAATTAAATTATATTTTTTTCCTGAAAACGTGATTAAACATAAATTGCTCATTTCTTTTATGATCACCTGAGTACTGTTTCTTAACTCTTTTATGAAGCGACGCAAGAATGTGTCGTAAACGCTTGTCAAGAACAAAGCCGGTGAAAACATTAAAAATAAACACGCCAACATTGTTTTGATCCATTTCAATGTTCCCTTTAATCTCCACTAACACGCTACCCCGTAATTGATTCATGTTTATGCGAATTTAATGAAAAAACACGAACTTACTCGACAACATTGATTACATTTGAATAATTCTGTACGTTAATGGATGTAGTTACTAATTATTAAGGTACATCTAATATTATCGCTTTCCAATTGAAAAAAAAAGTTAGGTTAAAACAAAATATAACATCTTATCCGTGACAGATATATTGCCATCTCGTGTGTACATTTCGTAGTATGGCTCTTTTATATTTAACCTTGATTTTTATTCTGGAATAAATAAAAATAGAGCTATTACGCCTTTTTCCAGATTGCAATTTATAAAACACAAAGGAATTTTAAGCGTTGTTTATCGTTTCGTAGAGTCGTAAATAGCGACCAAACTAAACGCAATCAAAATTCCTAGCGTTCGATTCTTAACGTTTTCAATCGACAAAATGATATAAAATTTACGGCGGTTAAAATGCAATAGCCTAATATCTTTTTCACTTTATAAGGGACGTAAATCGTTACCAACTTATTTCTGAAAAAAATGCCGTTAAAATCAGTACATTGTTGGTTTCACTTGAAGTTCATGACGTATTTATCAAAACAAATACTACTTATAATGTTAATAACAATTTTTTAATATTTGTATAAACAACAAAATTAACAACACTGAAATAATAAAATGCAACGTAGTTAATCAAAAAGCAAATGAAGAACAATAATCGGATTATCGTTATATTTTCGCGCCAATAAAACGATTTACGCGCGAACCGCCCGTTGGCATTCAGCGGGATTGCAAATGTCAATCGTGTGAGTGCGTCAAAGTCAAAATGTCAGCGTCCGCTCCTCCGCCTCGCCCTCCTCCAATGTCTGATTGCCCTCCAGTGGGCAACGACTGACGAGCGGAGCCTTCAAGCACCAGTTAATAACTCTTAACTGCTCTCTAACGTAATAAAAGTTTCACACCAGAGCAGAAAAGTGCAAATTTCCATTATTTAAATGCCCACGCAAGCTGAGACAGTGTTTTCTTGATAGTAAGTGTGCGTTTAAACAATATTAGTACTGCACTAATTTCTGCTCTACTTCACTACCCTAGTGCGAAAATTGGAAAACATAATAAAACTAATCATCTGCACGTTCGTCTCGTTCTACATTAAGAACATTATATTTAGTCAAAAACACTTTAAATTATGCGAGCACCGAAGTGAAAATTATTGTTTTATGAAATAAATATGATAAAGCATTAAATTAAAATTATTAAATCGATTAAATAAAATTCTGTAACCTTTACAATCTCTACTACATATTCTATAATATTTTCTATTTCTCCAAATCAATTACATCGGAAGAGGCTCACCTGTTTGTCGCTGGAGGCCGTGTTGGTCGCCTCTTTTAATACATCTTACAAACATTACTAAAAATAATTAAACTAATGGATATTCTATCATGGATAAGCGGTCTAAATTTTAAACTAACAAAGTTTGTAGCGACGCGACTAATGAATTATAAATAAAACATTCCTCATTCCTTTTGCACCGTTTTAAAGAACACAAAAGGATTTCTTAATACGAACATTTGAAAGACTTTCTGTTATCTACTTAGATGAAAGCGACAACAAAGAAGTTTTCTCCGACCAACTTGTCTGTTATTTTAGAAAAATTACAGTTAGAATAAGCTACAGTTAAGTTTACACAAAGTACTGATCTGATGATGAAAAATTTGATATTAAATGATCCTAAAGTGATTTATTCACTGCCCAAAGGAATTCCAGAAACAAATAAAATAGGTCAATAATCGTAAAGCGGGATCATCGACTTTGTATTCTATAAATATAAGATATGCGCAATATTACTTCCATGTTCAATGAATTCGTTTGTGAATTTTAAAATCGTATGTTTATTGCATATTTTTACGTCATTTAGTTTATTTTTACGTCAAAAGATTTGCAGCATCTAGAAATCGAAGTTATTGTTGGAATAGCCTATTTATCAAGATCTAGAGTAATGACTAACAATGAGTTTGCACTAACTGAACATCTGTATAGAAACAGTTTTTTTTTTATTGAGATACGTGACAACTTCGCATATTATAATGATGAGTCGTTCCGAATACTGCGATAATTTGCGTAATTAAATGTACGTTCCATTGAATAATATCGTATCTTATCAAATAACATTTTGTCCAAAATAAATACGTTATCGCTTACTATAGTTATTTATAAACGAACCATTGTTATAGACGATAAAAGCTACATTATAATTGCTTATTAGTCATGGAATATTGAATTTCTATTGGTATTTAGCATACTTAATTAGGATACGTTTAAAGGCCATTCGTTTTCCTGAAAGTATACACTTGGGATCGCCTCAAGTTTTAATCTCGCTCAAATGGTTCTAAATGTATCTATTTGTTTTTGTTTATAGCTTTCCCTTTAGAGCTTAATGTATTTTGTTAACGAATAAATTGGTATTTTCAAAATATTTACACTTTAATAGCAATAAAATATTATATTCCCCTCTTTTATTAAATTTGAAACAAGCAAACTTTGCATATGCGTTGCCTTTTTATAAACATTTATTGTAGAAGACACTAAGATGAATAGGAGGCTATATTGCCTTATTTTGATAATTGATTTCGTTAATTTTTTTTTATTATATTGTGCTAAACATTATCTGATGGCCACTTGTAAGTTGAACCCTGCGTACATTGCAACATAATTTTAACAGTCTGAATATGCTAAAATAATTTTGATATTTTTTGGACATAAACATTCTCTAATTTTATAAAAATCTATCCAGTGGTTTAAGAATACATAGAGAACAAATAAAAACATTTTTTTTTATGTAAGATATTGGGAGATGCTCTGATTTATTGT